TTTTAAAGGGAAGGAAAGAATAAATACCAGCTAAAGTTGTTATATTTTGTTTATCATTCTTAATTGAGAATCAAAGGGCATTTGTGTAGGGTGAATTCTATAATTAGCTCATCTTTACTTTACGTTGATCTGCGGTGCAGTATTTATCCCACTCAAAGACAGGAAAGTCAGTTTTCCCAGTGTGACTTAAGCAGTTTCTACAGATTTACTAATATCAGACTACACCCTTAATATATATATGCAGGTATAAAACACCAGCTCAACATAGCTAATTGACAGCTTTTCCTGATATCATGGTTTTCTGCTGAGTTTAATAAAAAGAAATCCCTGTGGACTTTACTCCGCTAGTCATTGCCGACTATAGGGGGTGGTGCTCATCTCTGTTTTAAGACCATTGAGCCATCACTGTCTGAAGACATTTCTGTGGTCATGTGGGCAGCATGATGTCACGGAACACTATTACCTTTCCGCCATAATGGTACCTATTTATCTACTTTCATTTGCATGCTTTCAAACTGCCAGGTTGGCAGGAGCTGGGGCGAGGATGGGAGATCACTCCATTGCACGGAGCTCGTCTCAAACCTGGCCCGAACCTTTCCAGCCAATAAGCCCAGCATCTTAACCGCTGAGCTACCCTGCTGCCTCGCTGAGTTTAATAGATAAATACCACTGAGTGTAATATTCATCTACATATTTGTAGTCTGGCACTAAATAGAGTCATTTATAAGTACTATTAAAACAGTTAGGATTCCCTGATTTTACTGTAGACCTTCAATATTTAATTACATTTTTTTTAAAAAAATGTTAATGCCAATATTAAAGTATTAGTTCTATTTATAGATGATCTTGTAATTTAATAATCTTTCGAAGAACAATATTCCTCAGCTGTTTCATGCACAGTATTTGTACTCAGTATTTCTAGAAGATATTTCTTGAGAAGAAAGTAGCCCCCTAAATGAAATGAAATCATCTTGCAGAAATAAAGTATTTCTTTCACATTTATTGCCAACCCTGAATTTCAGTCAATTAAAATTTGTACTGAAGGCTTTTCAGCTTGAAACAAGCCCTGTGCCTGTGATGAGCAATCCTTCTTGTTTGTGCAGTCATTCATTATCTCCATTACCAAGAGGAAAATAGAGGACAATTACATTGTTTGGACGAATCAGAGTGTTAGGAGGAGTATTTATCATGGTGGCAGAGTGCAGCACCTGACAGCAAAGGATTGATGGCCAGGAATGAGTGAGTGGCCAAAACAGCCTCATATGATGCAAATTACTGACTGTGGATTCCAATTTATCCTGTTCATTTTTCTTTCCTATGCTGAAGACTATTAGTGGTTTTTGAAGCAGTGAAAGGGTCATTACTAATATGGTCTCAAAGCAAGAGGGGAAGGAAGGGAAAAGCCTTCTATAATTACAGGGCTTAAAAAAAAATACTTGAGGAACTAGCCAAAAAAGTGTCAACACTTAGCAATCAGAAAAATTTATTTTCATTTCATCCTTAACCCACATTAACTCAACGTTATCATTCTTCTTTGTTAATATTTTCAGAATATTAAAAGCCTTATTTCTGTATTCATTCACATCTACTTAACCCTTTTTCTGAAGAGCTATATTGTTTAGCTTGCCATGACACTATTCTTGATGTTAGTATAGTAAGAACATTTTAAAATGGGGCTGCAAAATACCTTTATAAAAATAATCCCAGGCTGTAGTTTTTAACAATTGAGTCATTTGGCACCTAACAGGATTTGTATAGGTATATTGTTAGCATATATTTGCATGATAAAAAATATCAGTACTGTTGAAAGAAAACAGCTCCACTTTTTATGTTAGTTGTGATATCAAATGATATTAACAAAATTTAAAATTAGGTATTCTGTACTTGAGACAGGTATGTTGAAAAAATAAATATATATTTAATATAAGGAATATGTAATATTAATGCTTATTTCAACTAAATCTCATTGTTTTATTGATGAAATCATTCTAAAAAGATCTCAAAAATAAGGCAAGATTAAAAAAATATTAGGTTTATTTATGCAAATATTTTAATTTATTTTTGCTCTTATATTGTCTTATCATGGAAAAATTAGTGATGAGTAATGTAACTCAGCAAGCAATTACTATTAAATATGTTCTGTTTTAGTCATCAGACATTGCTGAACCAGACATTGATCAAGATTTGCCTAAGGGGTCTGCTATATAACTATCTACAACTTGACCAATAAGATACAGAACAAGGCTCCCTTGATGGTGACTCCTTGAAATCAACTATGCTGAGGAATTGTGTATGCACAATTCTGGAAACTGTGGAATTTTTCTGTTTAGAAAATATTTTAACAAGTGTTCAAGGGGGATACTGTTGTATTTCCTTAATATTCTTTGGAATATTACATGTAATATTAAGAAGTTTTAGATTTATTCCCTACCTTCCTGTAATATAGTATCCATGGTATTCCCTCTGATTTTTCCCAAAACAATTGTGTGGTGTATGTTATGCTGAGAAATAAAATGACTCAAATTGTGGTCATTCAGTCCTAGTACAATGTCATTTCCATTACACCATATTGGCTTTTAGCTATGGTTTATTGTAACCCATACGAGCCTGGTTCACATATAATATTAAAGCATAATAGTTAACTTCATATCTACTTTATGGCATAGCATTATGTAAACAAGTTCTTAACTGTTTTGTTGGGATATATTTATTTTAATTTTGTGTGTCATATTAAAATCCTGAGGAATACTTAATCACTAAATATTTTATAAATGCAAAGCCTTCTGAAACTCATTAAACCATTAGTGAAGTACCCTATATTCATAAATCATCAACTTAATTGATTGTTTCCAATATCATTATCCAGTCCAGTGTGTTCCAGACCCATTGGACGTAAAAATCCATAATTTCTATCCAGCATGAAAAAGTATTCTAATAACAGAATAACAGAGTTGGAAGGCATCTTGGAGGTCATCGAGTCCAGTTTCTGCTTGAAAGCCTATAATGTTGGGGCACCCACAACTTCTGAAGGCAAGCCATTCCGCTGCTTAATTGTTCTCATTGTTAGGAAATTTCTCCTTAGTTCTAGGTTGCTTTTCTCCCTGATTAGTTTCCATCCATTGTTTCTTGTCTTGCCTTCAGGTGCTTTGGAAAATAGTTTGACCCCCTCATCATTGTGGCAGCCCCTCAAATACTTTCTACCAATTTCTTCTGACCCTGACTAATTGAAAATACTGCCAGGTAAACAGCAATGCAAATATACTTTATTTCCATCCAGAAAATCTCCTTGAAATAATTCCTGGGCACATTGCACTGCTTATGTTTCAGTCCCCCCTAGATAAGGATCAAACTTTGAGGGGTAAGGAAGAAGAGGACACAGTTCCGTTATGTCCTAGGCAAATTCCTTGAGATACTTACAAATCTGTGAACCATATCAAGGGTGGGAATAGATTTATGGCCTATAATATTATGCAGTTTCAGTACAGTACTTTTAGAAGGATTCCAGTGTAGATTTCATGATTATAAATAGCTTATTCCTCATCCTATATATTCTGTATCAACATATTGCAGTGGAGTTGACTATCATGATTCCTAAGAAGAGGAACTGAATATAACTTTTCAAGTTAAAATATAGAACACCTTACCATAGACAAGGTAGAAATATTTTTGGTGAAAATACGTATTTGGAAATCCATTTCTTAATGCTTTTCCAAATGTTTAAAGACATTTAATACTACTGTTATGACCTTCCTTGGGTCAGGCTGTAATCCAGTATTGATTTGCAATGAAAAATAGCAAGTTTTCAAAACTATCAATCATATGTCTGTCCATCCATCTGTCCGTCCATCCATCCATCCTTCCATTCATCCATCCAGTTAGTACTGAGAAATCTTTTGAGGGAGTTTACCTTAACCTATTTTGAGTTTAACATTTTCGGCCTATGGCGGTTTCTCTGAAATATTTTTCTTTGTCAGATGGGAAGATAAATGCATACTAAACAAGTAGCTCTACTGTACAATTGTAAGTGGCATCAATGTGATAAGGGGTACATAAATAAATTATGATAATACAGATCTGAAAAGCAGATTGTCCTCCTAGATTGATTGATTTACATATCACAGGACTTACAAGCAAAGTTCCAGCCTTTTTGCACCAATGAGCAGTTGTGGAGTTTTGAGAACATGATGTAGACACTCTGACCATGCTAACCATGCATTTTGTCAATCACAGCATATTCATGTACAATAAAGTAAAAGTTGTATGCTAGGGCCTGTACATATAATTCAGCAGTGCATTTTGCTTAGGAGTGATTTGTATTGAGATCCACACTTAACCACAGATCATCAAATCCTATCAATGAGGCTTGGCTCCGAAGCTTACACAAAATCCTAAGTATCCTTAGGATAGTGGCTGTTTCATGTCTTTGATCTGCTGATTCAGACACTGGACTTTACAAACTGTGCTTAAAAGCTGGATAATTGTTGTTCTGACTTGCTTTGTGGTATATTATTATTGTTATTAAAATCATTTGATAGGTGTCACAAGAAGTATTATGTTAAAGATCCAGGATCTTTGTTATAATATGGTTTGTTTGGTTTTAGCTTAATGTGTATGAATCTAGCCACTGTATTTTATAAAGATTTAAAAACTTTGCATCGTATGTAGTTAGCTAATAGTGGTTTAACGAGTAAACTGTATAAAGGAAAGCATGCTTTAGTGCAATATCTGAACCCAGGAATTGGCAATTGATAGTGCAATTTCAAATATATGCTTTATATTTTACATATGACATGTATACTGTTTGATTGTTGTGCCCATCTGATAATGTTTCACAGGACAGGCAAATTTGAAGGATGATTTAGGAGTGTATGTAATAAGTCAATGAATGCAAGTGATAAACTGAAGTTACATTAAACCTATACACAGCAAAGATGCTTTCATTTTTAAAGCATTATCTTTCTTAAGTTCTGATTCATTTTTAAAACATTTCTTTTTATTAGCATCCGTATCCTTCAGAGGAGCAGAAGAAACAGTTAGCTCAAGACACAGGACTTACAATTCTACAAGTAAACAACTGGTAAGTTACTCTAAAACAATATATTTACTTCCATGGCTGAAGTGCTATTCTTTTTTATTTCTACACCAATGCAACTAAATGTCAGGTTTCTCTTAAGCCTGAAACAATACTTACAGAGAGCTAAAGCTAATAGGTATAAATTATCTTTTCAAGATCATTCTCTTTTCAAAGTCTGCAGCAATTGTTCAAATCCTATAAATGTTATTTCATGGGAAAACACCTGAAAAATTTATAGTTTTGAAATTCTTATGCTATCAATTGTTAAATAGATTTCTTTGTTCAGGAGTTGAATAGAGATTTAGATTTCAGCCTATAAATGATCCTTTATAGGAATATATTCACCTTGATATTTTACATAGGCAAAGAAATTCTACAATTTTTGTTTTTGATATGGTAGTATGTGAACCGTCCGTCTTTTGTACACGGCTTAGTGTATAAGTAAGGAAGGGGGTGGGGTAGAGGATTAAATAAAATGATCACAGTGGCCAAGAAATGATATAGGAATTACTTATCAAAATACTGGCCCGGGTTTTATCAGCAGCTTAATTTTGTTCAGTACATTCTTGGGGTGATGTTCAGATTAATTGAACTGACAGTTCTCTTTCAAAATTCAGGAAAAGTATTTGCACGGATTTCAGACCTTATACAAACTTAATTACATGGAACTCCATTTTATCATTCTAATTCCATGTAGCAGAGTTGTATTTACAAATGAGAAGTCTCTGCCTTTATTCACAGCTTTCCTTAATATATTTATCAAAGCAGGTTCATTTACAAAGTGCTCTATCTGTGGGATACAGGCAGGCAGACATTAACAAAGCTTTTAGGTTTATCAGGCTCACTGCCTGATGAGCTACCCGAGGGTCAATTGATTTTGTGGTTCTGTGATTCATTTTTTTCTCATTTTTCTAGGATCACAATGAGAGACATGGTTGGAGAATTAGCCAGTTTGTCTGCCTTATCTGTCAGGCAATTTTTTTTCCCAGGGAAGTCAAGCTACTTAAATTGGCCACAGGAACTGCCGTTATCTGACTTTAATGCACCCTATAGTGTGGATAGCATTTCAATTACACCAGTAACCAAAGCTTAGCTGCAGCCCTTTTCATGCCTAGTGCTGTACAGAAAGTGATGTGCCTACCTACAGAAGCAGAAAATTGAGTTGCCTTGCTTCTGTCAGGGTGATTAATGCAGAAATAAACTGCTAACCTGAAAAGAAAGGGGGAGGGGGAATATAGAATACATGGAGTTGAATTCAGTTTAATTCTGTTTTAAAGATTGAAATGAAGCACATTTAAAACATGCACTTGCATTAAAAGAGAGCACAAAAGATAAGCTTTTGTTTTAGAAGAAAAAGACATATATGTTTGTTCTGACTTATTCCATGCCTTAGATACACATGTACTAGTATGTGTGAATTTGGACTGTGACCTGAAAATTCATACTCTGGCAATAAATACATAATGTTTATTTATTTTCAGTCATATTTTAAATTGTTATTATGGTTATAATATTAGATTGTATTTGTCTTTTCAAGACAAATGTGTATTAAAAAGCCTTTTTCTTCAAAGCAAAACAACATTTAAAACCTGTACTTAATTATTGTAATTAAATGTTGATATATCATCAGTCACAGATAAGTATTTTTCTTTGGATGAGGAGAAAGGTGGAGTAATGAAGAAAATTGTAGTTTAATTTGATCATTTTGTTTCTGAAATCATCATGAATTTCTCATTCCTTTGATTCTGAAAAGATGTCCATGTCGCTTTTTCATTTGACATAGACTTCAGACATAGCTGAGATAAAACCGTCTTTGTGTATGCAAAGGAAACCTCAGAAAGACGAATTTGTAAGTGATAGTATTCTTGAAAAGGCACTAACCATAATCAGGAACTAGTTCTAAAATTGGGTAGAGTAAAAACAATTATAGTCTTTCTTATTATATTTTTTATCATCAGAGATACAGATTTTTGTTTTACCTCATCACCAAAACAGCTAGGCCAGAAAATAACTGAACTGATTTATGTTCATGCTTAACAAAAGAAAAAGACCTCTATCTTCTGTAAAGCTTTTTTTTTTTTAAATTTAATAAATTTATATGCCACCCATTTTACTATTAAAGCAACTCTGGGTAGCTTAATCATATTGATATTGATTGTATTTCCTTGTTAATTTTCATTAGAAATCGACTTATGATTAATAATTTAACCAAGAGTAGGCTATTATGGGGGGTGAGTTTAGAAAACTTTTCGCTAAAATAATGTCTTTAATCTGATCACTGAAGTGACATAATAGTTGTTAAAAATGTACTATTTATGTGAAGTAGCTGTTTATGCTGCTGCAACCACTTTTTTCAAGGATATTGCATTGTCCTGATTGATACTGCAATGGAATGTGGTTTCAAATAGTTACCATGGTGAAATCTATGAAGATAAAACATAGCAACAGTGTAAGTCCAGGGGCTTTACTACAAAAGAGAAGATATGCTATTAGCTTATGAATGACTTGATAATGAGCCATTACCCAGTGAGTTTCAAATGCATAGATTTTCATCAAAAAAAAAATATTTGCAATAGTCAACAGATACAGAAAAGGCATCTACTTTTCATTTAAAAACTTCCTTTACCTATGTACAAAAAGCTTCTTCTATCTATAAGGTTCCATATCTTTCTGATAATATACAGCATTCAAATATTTTGCAATATGAAAATATATTGTCAGAGCCACTTTCAAACTATCATGCAGTTTGCTTTCATGTTTATTAAAAATTATCTTTATAATTTTGTGTACATAAAAATGAACATGCATTTGAATATAGTGTACCAACATATGATACGAACAGTTTGAAATATAACCAAGACATTAAGACAGGAGTGATCTTTAGATGAGGATATAAAGGAATTCCTATGCTGAATTTCAAATATTAAAAGCTTAATAATAAGGCTATGTATGTATCACATATGTAAATATATCATCTGGAAAGAAAATCATATATTGGTCATAGCAGGAAAAAAAGAAATATAGAAAATTTAGGAAGATAATCCCTGTAGTATCAGTAATTCAGTTCATTTTCAGAAAGTGATATTAGGCTAAACTGTTGTATTACACATATGAATTAAGTCCTTGAGGAAAACAAATAATAAAAAATGTTAATTAAAATGTCAAATAGAATCTTAATTATGTATGTTTTAGGAAACAGAGAAAAACCCATAGTTTCCATCCACCCATTACCTCAATACCCTAATAAGAATTTTTATAGAATTGAATTGGTAGGCTTTAGTCCTTTATAGCAGGGGTCCCCAATCCCCGGTCCGTGGAACCATACTGGGCCGCAGCATGCCAGCAACCGGTCCGCACAAACAAGGAAAGCCCCATCTACAGGATGCAGGCAGCACACAAAATCATGCCCTTGTCTGGTCCACAGAAAAACCTCTCTCCACATAACCCGTCCCTGGTGCCCAAAAGGTTGGGGACCTCTGCTTTATAGAATTGAATTGGTAGGCTTTAGTCCAACAGTACATCCTCCCTGTTCAGCATAGGAATCTGCTGGTCCTTCTCTAACATTTAGATATTTAGACTCTTTTGCAAAACATCCAACAAGAGAAATCCATCACTGTTCTAGCCAGACTAGAATAAGAATAAGACAGCTCTTATTTTCAAATATTTTTGTTACACACAACCTGAATCTCATTTTTAAAAATTTTAAGTACTTGCAAGTTATACTATTTTAGATTTTGTAGACCATTATCATATCAGCCATCAATGTTTTCTATTGCAAGCTAAATTTAAATGATAAGAAAGAACGTTTCTTGCTAGACATAAAAATCAATGATTAATTTAAAAAATAATAATATATTTTAATTTAAATTAATGATTTTAAGTTGACATAATACTTTAATTTTTATTTGAATATGTTCTAAAAATGGATCTAATTTAAAAGTATAATCAAGGATATAATTTCTAAGTGAGCTTTTTGTTAATAAGGTTTTGAGAGCTACAGTAAGTTAACAGACCTGGTAACTGAGTCCTTCTAAAGCACAGAATTAAAGATCAGTTGTGGTGTTTCTCCTAGCACATAATGACAGAATTTCTTTTCCAAACATCCACAACAATTAGCTGAAGTAGGGCTGACTTAACTCCTAATGACTTCACATATATCTGCTCGATTTGTACTAAGATCATATTTCAATTTTTTTAGATAAAAATGTGAAAAATGACTAATTTCTTCATATTTTATGTATGTTTTAAAAAGGAAATGGTCTCTGATTTCCGAAGAATATGAAATCAGACTGTAGCAAAGAAGGAGAATACATTCTGACTTCAAATTAAAGTCATAGATTCTTTTTGGCAAATGAATACATTTCCAACTAGTGATTTAAATCATGATTTTTATTTAAGTTAGATCTGCTTTTATTTCCTGTATAATTTCATAATTCAAGAATTTAATTTAGGCAGTTAATCTAATGACTTTTTAATCATGGGCTCCTTCAATATTACCTAAGAGCAAACACAAAGGAACTTCCTTTGGTTCTCTCCCTCTTCTTCCTACCATATAATTCTACCTAGAGAACAGGTTGGTATATGCAGGCTGAAGGCTAGGAGAAGAACATATATTACACATAATTGAAGTTTAATCATGCTTTTTCCTTTGTCTTTTTCTCTTCTATATTGCTTGAGCATATATTGCACTAAGCCTTATTTTTGTTTTCTCTTTAACATGTTGTATTCCTTTATGCCTCATAAACCTTAGATTGTGCCTTAGTATAATGAATAATTCCAGTATGGTTACATTAGACTTAGAACCAGGAGTTCCTTACTATTGAAGCTCAGTGTATAACATTGGACCAGTCAGTCTCTCTCTCAGCCCAACCTAATTCACAGGTTGGTTATTATGAGAAAAAAAAGTAGGATGTAACAGTATGTATATCACCTTGAGCTCCTGGAGGAAAGCAGCATTGATTTATTTATCTAATAACTAAATAGTAAATAAATAAATTGTGGTT